TGCAATTTCATCCCTAAGCATGTGTTTTCTTTTTATTTTTCATTACCATGCATTACCACGCATTACCACTTAGGAGGAGGTATTAGGTGGGAAAAAAAATTTCTAAGGAAAAATGGTCATTTTGGGGTGAGCTAGCATTACTATGGGAATGAACCTTGATTCTCATTACAAATTTACATACAAATTCATTCCCAATACCTTCTTTTATGATCACCTACCAAATGGGCAGTAAATAGAATGTTTATATCCTTTGTTATATGTTTGTGTGTGCATTCCTGAGCTGCTCCGGCAAGGATCAAGTACTACTAATAAGTGATATTGGCAAGCGTTACATTGGGTTCTCAATTTGACCCACATGATTTAAAATACGTGCTACACTGCAACTGTTGCAGTGCAAAATTGTGTCTAATGTCCGTCTATTTTGCATGGTTTGCTTTGTCTAGGATGCATAATCAGGGCCCTTTTCACCTCTTACAAGTCATTGCACAAAAATGGCCTTGCAAAAGGAGTGAGAATTTGGTATTGTTGACTTATTTTTCTTTAAAAATAGAATGAGGCAATGTAGATCCAACAGTGTGAAGAGTGAAAACAATTCTTGGCTTAGAATTTGATAAGGCAGCAAGAAATTCCCCACAGTTTTAATTTTCTTTAGGCCAAGTGGCAGCTTTGAGGAGAGTGGAACTGTGGACATGTGAAGTGTTGGGGAACTCAGGAACATTATATGATAATAAAGTATGACTGTTATATTGTAAATTTCGGTTCAACGCAACCATAATAATTAAAAAATGTGTTCTCTGATATATAGATTAAAGGCTAGTGGACCTTAGTAGCTGAAGCTTGTATCTTTGTCTTTTTGACTTGGTTTCTGTAATGTGTAGATAGTTTTAATTGCTGACTGTGAATATATATAATTTTGGCCTTTGTCCAGTGGCGGATTCAGGATTTCCAATCAGGGGTAGCACGTACGAGTAGATGTTTAAGAAATTTAAAACAGAAATTAATACAGGATTTTATTTTAGGGATTCGTATTGAAAAATTCCCCAAAAACAATAAGCAAAATAGTAAACCGAATGATTGTTTGGATGCAATGCAATGTGTTAGTACATTGTTGTGCTCCTTATTAATTGATAATGTGATTTTGGACATGGATACATTTGACTAAGAACTTATTCAAAAAGCAATTACTAAGATATATTATACTTATCAAAAACAATTACAATACAATATAAAAAAAATGCACAATGGTATGAAGTATCAATTATTTAATTGATACTAGTAATTTTGTACCTCCAATTTGTATCTTTTTTTTTTTACAGACTATTCGTATCTAAATTTATCATTACAATTAATAAATACTCCATACTTCGTAAATAATTTGTTAAAATGAAAAAAAAAATCATCTTTATTGATAAAAGTAATGGAGAAATTTAAATTACTTTAAATCTTATTAATGCTTTTTTTATTCCTGTACGTAGTAAAAAAATAAAGTTTAGGGGGAAATCGATTTGGAAAAAAGAGCAAGGGTAGTTAAAGTGCTTACAAAGGGAAAAAAAAAAAAAGAGGAAAAAAAACAATGTAAAGTGGGGTTCGAACCACTGACCTGCTGCAACAATCAAAACTTAAGCTACTTCTCCTTTTACCACTGCAGCAATAGTAAGCCTTTATTATTAATTTGCAGTTTAAAAAATTTATACCAAATTTCTGGGGGTAGCATATGCTACCCCTTTTTACAACGTAGATCCACCACTGCCTTTGTCCCTCGACTTAGTTTCTATAATTTGTTGGTAATTTTGTAGTTGGTGGTTGAGGTGAAATTAATTTGTGCTTGGTTTTCAATGATTCATGTATTATTTTCTGATATTTTTTGTATTAATGCGAAAGGTGATGTGATACACAAAGATCAGTCAATATCACTTTGTTTGTCGCTCAGTATTGAATTTCAGTTTATTCAAAACATTTCCCCCTTAATCAGAGAACTATGTATTGGCTCTACTGTCAAAATGATTAGGATCATAATTGACAATGTTTTTACGAATATAGATTGTTAATTTGGTTCTTTTTATGTTTCTTTTTTATTAGTTCAGATTACTCAACTTGTATTGGTGATGAAGTATCTAGATGCATCATTATAGTTGTGATTCTTGTGGATGCTTGCATCATGCCATTGTGATGAAAGATATTTACAATATTTCAATTAAGGAAGCGTTGAGATGATGTGTGGATTTTTGGGTTGACTGTTGGTTCCTGATGTATGGTCTTTGATTACATGTTTTAAGCTTATTTGATTTCCTTGAAGTGCTTGCTGATTTCTCCTGTTCTTTTTTTTTGCGGCTTTTTTGCCTTGTTGCTGTCGGATATTAAATATATGAATATATAATATGATTCGTGCGCTATTTAAAAAGCTTTCATCGTATATACTTCATGAATGAGAATTGGGGTTGGGGCTTTGTTGTTTGTTCACTTTATATGGCACAGGTGTGTATAAAAAGATTCTGTTCCCCAAAAATTACTGAATCTGTTGAGTATTAGTTTGGTCACTGGTGAAGGAAAAATGATGTTAATTTTCTTGGTGACTTCAAAGAGTGGGGCCCTTGTTGTGTTGGAGATAGCTTGAGCATAGATCTAAGCAGAGTTAAGGTATGCCTCTGGACAGTGGCTAGTTTTGAAAGTGATGTGCTAGAGGACCTGAATGATCAGGTGCAAGAACTTCTTTTGTTTTAATGGTTTGCGGTATAAATGCATCAGAAATATGAAGCAATATTCCATATTGTTGTGCATACTAGTTTCTGTTTGTTGATGTTTTGGCTTCTTTTTCTGCTTTCATGTTGTGCTGTGCTATCTACTGATTTTCTAGAATTTGGTTTTGCGTTTAATTATCTGTCTGGCTCCACCTAGTCGAAAATAGTAAAAAGCGTTATGAAATGTAATAATCAACGAGATGACAGTATGACGACATGACGTAGGTCTAGGGGATGTAGAACCTTGTGAATTATGAAGGTACTTGGTTTACCTTATTCATCTGTTAAGGATGGTAGTTCTGCGATGTTGCTTACTCATTTGTTAAATCATGTTGAGTCTGAAATGTTGCTTTTGCTGCTCGTTTGCTTACATGCTCCTTTGTCTGCCCTGCTGTGCAGTTGACATCATGAAGCCTGGTACAACTATTATTGTCCGAAATGCAAAGATTGAGATGTTTAAGGGAACTATGAGGCTTGTAGTTGACAAGTGGGGTCTAATTGAAGTTACTGAACCTGCTGATTTCACTGTGAAAGAGGACAACAATCTCTCCTTGATTGAGTATGAACTTGTCAATGTTACCGATGGGGGACAGACCGGACAGTAATCTTTAAGCTGGTAAATATTTTCAAGTGAAGAAAGTTTTGGGGTTAGTCTAACTTATCCGGTTATTATGTGCTTCAGCAATTGGTGAAGGGCTTTCTTAATTAAATGATTAGTAGGAATATTGGTTATTGGTATAGATATATGCTAAAGCCACAATGGGGTATAACTCTCGGAATGTGGTATCTAGATTATGATGTTCTGGTTAATGCTTTGGCTTGTTGATGGACATGGGATTGTAAAAAAATATTGGTGTTAATGATGATGACGATATGCAATATATGCTTATTAATATCCCTGTTATCGACTTTAAACTGTTATGTACTATAAACTGGTCACATATCGTTGGTAAATACAAGGTGATATTGTTGTCATGAATGTCATCTATAATGCCCTATGGTAGCTTACAAAGTTCACGCTAGATTGTTTTTATGTGGTCGATTGATAAAAAATATAGTATTATGAATTGATGATGGGGCAATTGGTAAGTATAAATTGGAGTGTTACTGAGTAGGGAGTGAGGAATGACAAGAGATTAGGGTTAAATTATTGCTATTTGTCATTCCATAACGGGGTTTTCCTAATAATTCTCCTTTGAAGGAGAATAACCCAAGAACTAATGGTGCTACAACACTGGGCCCGTTGGTTGTTTCTCCATGGAGAACTAGTTCTTGATTAAGAGACTACAAATTTGATTGGTATTTACTTGCTTGACATGTGTAACTATTCAATTTTTTAGAACCACTAAAAATAATCCCGTCATCTTTAAAGATATCTCAGCTTCACAATCAAAACAGGAAGAACATTTTAAAGATGTATGGCGTAAAAGAATAGAATGGAAGAATCTCCTCTGTTTGGGTTTTTCAGGGGAGAGTAAATTGATGGGTAATAGTGAGAATAATTTATTGTTTTAAATTATGACGATGGGTAAGTTGGTGGTCAATGACCTTTGATGGTAATCGTGTTTCATACTTTCGAATGACTGGTGGTGATAATTTTGTCGCAAGCTTTGAGCACTCTGTTAGTTGGTATGTTTATTATTTAGCAATAACGAAGGGGAACACTCCTGCGTTCCCCTTTGTTGTCGGAGTACACCCCAACGTCATCCAGATTTCCCTCAAGTTTGGCCCCTTCTCGCCATGATCGTAGATACAAACCATCACGTTAGTTGATTAAAAGTGGAAAAAATAAGTCAGTAGACCCAATTTAGAAATAGGTGCTTTTATTTAAGAACAAAGGGAATATAAAAAATTTGTACGAAACTAATTTGATGCATGGATTCATTACATGGTGACACTACTAACTAAAAACAATTTTGGAAAAACTTACTAGCTATACCAATCAACATTTCTTGTTCTTGAGAGTGAGGGATAGCTCAAGTGGTTAGAGCTTCCTTCCCGATTCAAGGAGATCCTTCGAAAACTATTGATTAAAGTTTGATTACCTTAGTTAGCATTAAAATACCGTTAATACTGCATTAAAATATTTTAAAATGGATTCAATTCTACTCTAATATTTATGGGATTTAATGGTAGCATTGTAACACAGAACAATAATTGATTATATTGTATAATGATAGATACATACATATATTTAATTATTATAAGGAGGGAATAATACCCTACCTGGATGTTGAAGGTTTAGATCACTAATTAAGAATAAGAAGAATTATAAAACTAAGTCAAAGTTTTCACACCTGATTCCCCATCTTTAACATTTTCTTAACTGTCTACCATTACCTTTTCCTTCCTTTTGCCCTGGAAAACTAGCTCAAAGCAAGCTTCTTCTATTTGAAGCATATATGCAAAGCAAACTCCTACAGTCTTAATCGTCGAATTATTCGCCTTTCTACAATGAAAGGAAACAAAACAGAACTAGAAGCTCAACATTATCATCAACAACAACTGCCACAGCATGATCATCACCACCACAAAGAAGAGGAAGAAGAAACAAGGCGGCGAGGTTGCCGGCCTATAGCAGCCTTGCTTGGGTTCCCATTTGCTATATCTGCTTTTCTGTTATCTCTTGCTGCTGGTATTGTTTGGATTCTTGGGTATGTTCACTTTTCCTACTCGACTTTTAGTTGTCACATTACTACTTCAAATTATACTATCAACGCAAAATAATATTGTTTAGAGGTATTTCAGGTTTATGACTTTATGTTTATTTATTTTTTGAACAGGTCAATGTTGAGTTATGTGTGCCCATGTCTAAGCTGCTGTGCAGATCTTGCAAATAAAGCTATGGACATTATAAAGCTTCCTATTACTGTATTTAGATGGTTTGTTGATAAGATTCCTTGCTGATTTGCTTAGTTCATAGTTTTCAATTTCAGATATCCAGTATTTGACTTTTGTTTATTTAATTAAATTTAATTATAATTCTTATTTTAATTTGTGAAACTTGTTGCAACCACCATTTTAGTACGTGTCTTCTAAGGTAAGCATATCTTATTTGTTTATAATCAGATATTTTTTGTATTGCCGTGTTATTAGTTGCTTTATGTATTTTAAATAATTCTTACCCAATTGAATTCGAGCCAATTAGTCTATTGTTTTTGATAGATAATATACAAAAGACCCATAATTTTGGGCAAGATTAGCCAACTGGTGGGGACCTTGGGAGCACTAGATCTAGGATGTCATGATGTCAATTCGCCACTGTGTATATGTGTATGATATTTATATAGTGTTTTGATGCACATAGAGCCACAAAGAATAATGATATATTGTATATCGAGTACATATCGATTTAAAGTCCTGAATATGACTTCTTAATGACAACGAGTTTAACTTAAATGTATTAAAATAAAAGTATATTATATCTTCGTTTATCGTTTTTTGTTTTTGCAAAATATATGGCCTTTGACAAGTTGGCACATAGTATATATTGCGGTAACCCTATATGCTAAATTTCGTTTTTAGTTCCTTGTTTTTATAAGGAAATAAAAACTAAGTTGGACTATATAAAAGGTCCGTTGTTTCTTAGTCTATTTACAGTTCTTAGCAATAATAGGTAGGAAATTGGGCAGCATATGTTCATTAGTTTCAATCCAGTTGATAGGCATGCCTTGAACAGAAAGAATTTATCCTACGTATTGCTTCTTCAAGCGAGGCGGGCTCAACAGCGAAGGTGATCCGAAGCCAATCTTTCATTCCCACTGCAACTCCTGCAACATCAATCCTTGTATCTGTTAGCACTTAATACACATATATATATATATATATATATATGTCAACTTTTAAGGAATATTTATTTTTAAAAAATTAGGAAGTGGGACATGTGTCAATTTTTAAGTGGCTTTCTTATATTCTCATTTTTCATTCTAGCAAATTTATATATATAAGGTTTATAAGAGTTGGAAAGGATCCTAGAGTAGAGACTGGGTACTTCCTGCTATAATATGAATGATCATGATGCACGAGAGATGAACATTAATGGAGACGGGTTAATGTGAAGACGAGAACTCAGGGAAAAGAACTAGATATACTCGTAAACATATTGATAGTTTCGTTGCATACCTGGAAGAATGACGACAGATTCCTCTTTAGCCAACCTAAAACAGAAGTCAATATCATCACTGATGTCTTTCAATAAAGAAAGATTCAATTTTACCTGCAGAGATTATTGCAATAAAATCAGTCATTGATTCCCAAATCATGCTTTCAGAATTTCAGGTTAGAAAACTGCCTATGATGAAAGGCCTAGGATACCACCCAACTGGATTTTACCAACTAAATTAGTTAACATTCAATAGCGTAATTTAATCATTAATGTGGGGTGTCAAGATAGTACTGAGTATATGACTAAAAACTTACCATTACAGCCATTGAGCCCTCTGGTTTCTGAGGACAATTGAGGCAGGGAATCTTATTTATGCCTTCAAAACACAACTCTGATGTTTGCTTCAGAATGTTAATATTTTCTTGAAGAAAGCATCATCGGTTTTCTCTAGGATTTGTGGCACTGCTGCCTAAAATTAGAACAATAGACTTTAGTAGACAGCAAAGTAAAGGTTCAAAATAATTAGTGCTAATTAAGCTTTACAAATTGAAACCTGAACAAATGTTGGTGGTCCTCCGTAGATATCAAAAAACTTTTTCAATCGCTCCATGACCTGAGTATGATGCAAGACAAACACATAGCGTTAAGTATCACCTATTGATTGAGTATAGAAGTATAACATCACACTCCTTGAGTAAATCCTAGCTTTACTAGGCTCAAGAAGATATATAGAGTTGAGCTTAAGTAGCTCACGAGTCAGCTTGGCTCATTATCACCCGTAGTTTACTGTATCATGTTCCACAATTCCAATCATGATTAAACTGAGTACTATTTTGGAAAAAAACGAAGGGAGTATGAGTGTGCATAAGACGTAAACCTTAGGCTGCTTAAAGATGGCAGTGGGATCAGTTACAGCAAGCCAACCAAGTCTCCAACCAGGGACTAACCATCTCTTCGACAAAGATCTGAGAGTCAGAACAGGAGCAATTGATCCAAATGTTCCCATTGGAACAAATGGGTTCTTCCCAAAAGCAAGATGACCATAAACTTCATCAGCAATGACTATAATTCCAAGCTTCTTTGCTATCTCTGCAATCTGAAATGAAACAGAATTAATTATCCAGTGACATACTTTACCCTACGTAACTAGATATATTAATATGTCGTTTCAAATAAAAGTTATTGTGAAATCGTCTCATATACATGTCAGAGCCAATGCATAAGAGAGGGAAAAGACTAACCCGTAACAAGTGTTGGATAGAGTAAACATTTCCACACGGGTTTCCAGGGTTGATGACAACAATTGCAACAGTGTTCTCATCAGCAAGAGTTTCAACGGCGTCAAGGTCTACTTCCCAGCTCCTAGCCAGAAGAAGGTTGAAGTGCCTAACCTCAAGTTGCCTAAAGGAAGCACAAAGTTGGTAGATTGGGAAGCCTGGTCTAGGCACCAATATATTGGCACCTGGACGAGCAAGTATAGACAGTGCTATATCTATGGCATTTGTGCACCCCGACGTCACGAATACATCTTCCTTGGTTAAATTGTATGGCAAATCATGAGACAAGTAGTCAGCTATTGCCCTGTCCAACAAACAAACAATTAATTTTTACTGGAAACCAAGGCAAAAGCGGGTGATAAATGTTAATTAAGCATAGATTACCTAGAAGAAATGCAATTACCATCCAATCCTAAGGCTCAAAATGTAAGAATTGAACCTCAAACCACTATGTTAGAATGTGAGAGACTTAAGAGCTTTACAATAAAAGTTCTCACATGGTTTTCTTTAATTTTTGACATTTAAAGTGAAGCATTCGTAATAGATCTTAGAGGCACATGCTATAACAAGTCGGTCAAGTCCTTGCCAATGTGCAGCCCAACAAAACAAGAACACTCTTGGAATGGTTGGCCGACTTGGTCCAACATTCCAATGTGACCCCGACAGGTTGTTCCTTCAATAACCATCAGCCCACATCCACCGCTCTATACCATTTCTACTGGCAAGTACAATATCATAACAAACTTACATCTATCCAAAATTGCATGACAAAAGATAATCAAATTTTAATGTATTATACTTCGTATACAATTGTAAAATGCAAATTTTTGAAAAGGTTGTACTTAGAGGTGGCCAGTGGGCCGGGTTGGACCCAGCCCACCCTAACTCGCACGGCTGGTGGGTCACGTGGGTCCGACCCGGTTTCAATCCGGCACAGCCCGGCACAGCTCGGATTTAATCCGGGTTGTGTCGTGGGTCCAAAATTTTCGACACAACCCATTTCAACCCAGCTCAGTTTAACCCGTTTGATTCGACCCAAATCGCACAACCCGTTTTGACTCATTTAATTCGACACACCTAGCCCGTGAACCCACCTAACCCGACCCACCTGGCACAACCCAGCCCGCACGGCCCACCCGCACGAATGACCCACCCAACCCGCACGAGCCAACCCACCTAACCCGCACGCATGACCCACCCAACCCGCACGCATGACCCACCCAACCCGCACGGCCGGCACAACCCGCACGGCCCGCACAACCCGCACGGCCCGCACAGCCCGCACAATTCGCACGACCCGCACGGCCCGCACGGCCTAACATCCATTTTTAAAAAAAAAACGGCTAGTTTTTTGTATCTAACGGCTAGTTTTTTGTATCTAACGGCTAGTTTTTTAAGTGTATGATCATCCATTCTATTTTTCCTATAAATACCAATTCCATTTCACTCAAATTTCCACACAAATTCAAGCTTTCTTTCTCTCTTACTTCAAAATTCTTATTGTTCTCAAATTCTCAAGTGTTATATAGAGTTATATTTTTGTTAAAAAAAATCTGCTTAATATTATTATTAGTATTCTTAAGATTCTAAAAAAAAAAAGTTCTTCTCCATATTATAATTAGTAATCATACAAAAAAAAAATGAGCTCAAGAGGAGGAATGGGAAGGAGTCAAAGTGGTGGTCGAAGTGGTAGCCAAAGGAGTGGTGGTGCAAATTTTTCGTATGAAATTAATACGGAAAATTTAAACCAATTTGTCAATGAATATGGAGATTATGGTTTAGGAGATAGGCAAAATATTCAAACGTCTCCACCACAACATTTCTCCCACGAGTCCCACCAATCATCAAGTTCAACTATGCCACCTCCATCGCAACCAACATCTCAACCTTCATCTCAAGGTAATTTCTAATTAAATTTTTATTGTTATGAATATTTAAAAAAACTATTATTAATGATTATAAAGTTAGTTTAGTTTCCAATTTTCTATGATTTACAATTAGTTAATTACCATGAAAAATGCGTTTAAATAAGTATAATTAAAATATTTAAAATTTAAAAGCTTATTTTCATGAATAGCATTTAAAAATTAATTTTAATAATTTGATTTATGAAAGGTGGTGGCGGTGAAAGTAGAGGTCGAGCACATTTTTCTTGGGTGTGGAAACATTTTGAACGAGTTGAGGTCACACCCCCGGGATGGCAACCTGGTCAACCAAAGAGGTTCACGTGTACATGCCTAGTTTGCAAGGCGCTAGGTGCAAATGTCAAGTCATATAATTGGAAAACGGGAGATGGAACCGGAACCTTGAGTCGGCATTTGCAAAATAAACACGACTTGTTCGAAAATGGCCCCCGTCCTTCGGGGGGTGGCGTCCAAACACAATTGGGTGGATACATGAACCAACCCGGCGGAGGTACACCTTTCATTTATAATAAAGATAGAATGATTGATGAAATGAGTACTTTAGTTATTGCTAATGAATACCCTTTTAGTTACGGTGAAAATGCAAACGTTGAGCATTTTAATAAAGTTGCATTACAACCTGCATTTACTCGTGTCCCCCGAAATACCCTAAGACGTTATACACAAACTTCTTATTATAAGTATAGGAGTGGTTTG